AGTTCCACAAAAGAGGAAATCTGCAGCAAGAATGGCAGACCATTACAGACATTCAAGGGCATTTGCAATCTAGAAAGTTTGATATACAATGCTGTCGCAACAGAATGTTTCAACATCACTGACAAATCGTTCTACGTCAAAACATGCCAGGCAATGTTTAAACGAGTTAAGTGCAAGCAGTACAATAAACGCAATCAAAATGACCTTTAACTCTAAAATCTCCCTTGACTACGTAGACGTAGCTAAGTGCCCACCGATTTAGCGTTTCAAAGCGGAAGTGGGTGAATAAAACATGAGAGAAGAGAAAGGAGAAGCAAATGGCTCCAGACAGAAAAGTTATGAGGGAAGCTAGGCCCTGACACTAAAATGACCAAACGAAAGTCTGTTTTGGCAGAGTTAGGTCGATTTAAAGTTCCCTTGCCTCCCTTTCTCTACTCTCCTCTCCCTCCTCGCCCTCCTCCCCTCCTTCCGTTTCAAAATTTAAAACTAGAAACAGACAACTCAGTTACATAATTGTATATGCAAGTCCATGCTAAAAGATAAGCGAAATCTGAGAGACTTACCACTGGTATGGACTCGCATCTTACAGTTGCTGATATCCGTAGTGACACAGAAGTAAGGCACCCACAAATCCTCAATTTGGCGATCTTTGAAAATGGATTCAATGTGGGAATTGAACTCGTAACCTAAAAGGGGTGTAACAAAAAATAGACGACTCGGAGAGATAAACACTAACCTAGTGTAGAGTTACCTACCCGAAAAGAGGGAAACTGTGGGATACGTGATGTCCCTCAGTTTGGGCCAGATGGACTTGAAGACACGCGCAAAGTCGCGTGAGCGTTGAGATAATTGCGCTACTCGCGTTTCCTCAGACCACATTGCACCTATTAGCGCCCCAATACTTGTTCCACCGACCATGTCAATAGGGATTCCTGCCTCCTGCAAAGTGGAGCAGAGAAACTTCAGCAATGTGAAGCATTGCCTCTACAACCAAATCAACTGAAGCAGTTTGACTAGCGGCTTTAAATCCGCTCCTTCCTCCTCATCGCCATTACCAAGAAATATTGCAACAACCTTTCCTTGTAATTCTAAGTGATTTGTTGATTAGCACGGAGTTAAAACAAATCACGCAATAGGAAAACTATTTTCTCAATAAAAAGACTGAGTAGCAAGAAGACTAATACAACTCCAGCCTTCATCATAATCATTATGATAGCAAACATAATGCTTTGGGTTAGATATGGTAACAGTGTAGTCAAAATTAACGTTGTGACAGCATAGTTACTTGAACTTCATTTTCTTCAAACAAGAAATCAAATAAAAGAGAAGTACCGCCAGTTCTGCAACAATATTAAAGAGTACCAGTAGACAAGAGCTACAGCACGAGATTCGTTTCGATTGTAGAGAGCTGAGACATGTAGGTTTGATAGCATACACACTATGCCTTTACCCTCTTATCGCTACTCGCTTTGACGTAAGTGAAGAAGCATTAAATGATTAACTTGTTGGCGCGCGATATGTCAGGCGCCCTCAGAACACAAGAATAGCTATAAATTATCCAGAAAGTGTGCTCAAACTAAAAGACCAAATCTTCTGCTTACCCCTTCAATTACTTGCTCACCTATAGAGTCAATGGAACAGCGGAGAATAAATCAGCACAAAGAAGCTCTTGCAGATCAAGATCAACTGAAGGCGTTACAAAGCTTCTAGAATTATTAGTAACTGAAAGAATGGCAGCTCTTTACTACAAGTGATTGCGCATATTTTCATAGGTGCATAGGTGGTTCGGTGACGTGGAGCTATGCCAGAGTTCTGCAACGTAATATATCGACTGAAGTACGTCCAGAGCTACGTTGGTGATGAGGCGAAGAACGAGGGAAAAGCATCCCTTAGAGATGTCGAAGATCGTAGAGCCCAAAATAAAGTGAATTAAGGGACGCATGCCTCAATCTCAGGTTCTACACTTCAGAAACAATGCAGCGCAACTCGAATTGAGTGAAGTGGAGCCGATTATAAGAGAAGTGCTCACAGCACAGATGCATCAATGGATTCATAAAAATCGGAAGGCCTGATACGCTTCCAAATTGAGGACTTAAATGGCCCAGTGGGCATCTGAGCAACGCTAAAATGACAGTACAGCGTAAAAAAGGTCACCATAGAGGCAGATCCCGAATATTGTTTCCAAAAAGGCCTCCTTTTTAAGCTACGAAAAACAAGGTATAAAAAGACTCAAATGCTAAAGAAAATCACCCTGCCTAAGGAAATACTTCACTATTATGACGCAATGGATTGGTCTTTCAAACTCAGTCTTCCCGTTAATCAAGCAAACAAATGTACAAGTTTGCGCAAAGTTTACTATTGCTGATATTACAAGACCAACTCAGGTATCAAAATTACGCCAAGGGAAGAGATGTGAAAATAAAAGAAGTTTGCAAACAGTTTCTGATACTACATCATTTTTACCATCAAAGCCATTCCCGCATTCAATACAATTACAGTAGATCTAAAAAAACTAACACTCACCTGGAGCACACGGATGACTCCCACATGAGCAGCACCTTTGGCCC